TTCTTCAGATTGTCGAAGTAAGTTTTGTCAACTCTCTACTTTTAATTGAAAAATGTCTTCTTATGATGCATGTGTGTTGAAGGTTTTTATTATGAGTAGCTAAATTAATTAGGGGTGTGATTATTGGAATGGTGATGGTAATTTTCTGAGAAAATCATTTAGTTGAATTATATTATTGTCAACGGAAATTACTAGTTTTTATTACTGAGAATTTATACTTGAGATTTGTAAATCGAGAGAAGGCAAATCTATTCTTGAAAATTATATTTCTTGAGAAATCTGGAATTTAATTAAGTCAAGCCCAGTAATTTGATAATTGATCTTTAGACATTGGATTGATTGTTAAGTAAGTATTTGAAAAGATACTTACTTACTAGTAAAAAGATTTAAAATAAAAGTAACCGGTGATTTTACTCTAAAAAGAATCATCACCTCACCAATAATTACATCCCTACTCTTTATTCCTGAAAGGTAAAATTCAATCTCCATTCCTTATTCGACTTATTGAAAACTTTTCAATTCAACGAGTAAACCTTGTCTAGCTAGTCTTGCTAAACTTTCCCTTGGGCCGATTCTTGAGACGACACGGGATAAACTGATCTTTTAAAGGTCTAGTCTGTTCCCTTTACTACTTTACTACTAAGGAAATTTTGAGTTAAACCAAAATTCTTCACTACCGCCGAACTCCGACTGCGATGAACGAGTAAACCCCTTCTAGCGACGAGCTTAGGCAGATGCGAGGCAGCAACGGGGATGAGCGACTCCGGCGACCTCTAGGAGTAGCGGTGTTTCCGGAGATTTCTCCATCCTCCTTCTTCGGCGAACCAGTGACGGTGTCAAGATGGCAGCTCCGGCGAGCCTTCTCTGCTCTGGCGAAAACAGCAGCGACGGCGTGTTGATGACAGACCAGCAACGGCGTTTGGGCAGCAACTCCAGCGACCCTTGGGCCACGACGGTCAGATTTTGCAGCGATTTTGACCTTCTGGCTGCGGCGGGACTAAGACTATCTCGGGATGCCTACAAGTGATACTAGGAGAATGGATTTCATACAATTATTTCTTTAGCTTTATGGTCTAATGATTATATGTCATATATATATATACATACATATATATATATATATATTCAATTCTTTTTATGGCAATTTTCTTAAATAGCTCTTTTAAATATTTTTCCAATGACTTTTTTTTTGTAATTCCAATAAATATTTTAAGTAAATGTTTTTTTACAAATAGCTGCAAATTAGGATTTCTTTCTTAAAAATGGATTTACATGGGTCGTTTTTAGATTTTTTTGATATTGATGGAGAACAAACTAGTTTTAAAATATAAAGAATAATTTTTTTTCAATATAAAATTTTCAAGTTTTGTATATTTAATACTCTGTAATTTATTATATAACTAAATACTTATAATTAACAAAAAATAAAATATAAATATATTTTAATGGACCTACTATATCAATTTAATAGATACTCCCTCCGTCCCACTGTCTTTGTCCACTTACCTTTTGGCACACCATCCAATGCACTTCTTTTTAGGTAAAATAGAACATTAAACATATAATTTTTTAATATTTTTAATATATAATTATTAGATATACAATTCTGCTTAGTTTGTTCTAGTGTGTACTGATAAAAATCCGAATGTGTAACTCTCTTAAACTACTCACAAAGTGCTTAGATGAACAGTTCCAAAAGTCAAAACTGGACAAAGACAATGGGACGGAGGTAGTATTTAGGAATCCAAATGAGATGCTACCATTGAAAGAATAAGATGTTGAGAGAGGTGCTAGAATAATATCTTTATAGTGGAGCCCACACTTGAGCATCTCATGAGAGATGTTGCCATTGTGGATGCTCTAACTAGACAACGACGGGTGAGCTCTATTGGTCCGAGAAGCGTTGTCTGACCTCCAGGCAATGGCTGTTGACATTCGAACAGCAGCGGCAAGTCCAGGCAGCGGGGTATGACTTCCGTTTTGATGACATCGCTCAGGTGACACGCTTTTGAAACCAATCGAATGAATCGAGGTGAGTACGTGAACATCTAACATTAGAATATGCATCTAGGTTTGAAGTTCTGTTCATAATTGTTATCGTGGTTGTTTTGTGTGATTTATCTAAATAATTGTTGATTGTGGTTTTGGGAATTGTTGTCCTTAAATAAAAAAGGGCAATATGCATGATTTAGGCGTTGATTGATGGATTAATATGCTTGATAATGTTTAGAATGTTAACATGAACAAGTTGGTGTTTGTTGTTATGAGATTATTATTGGTTGGATGTTGAAAAACAAAACAAGTGTAAATACAGAATTTGTTGTGTCAGACGGTAGGCAGTACCGTTAGGACGGTACTGTGCTACCGTCACACTCTGTTGGTTGCTTTCGCCTCTGTCTCTAGCTGCAACCGTACAGTACCTAGATACCGGACGGACGATAGGCCCTACCGCCTGGTCGGTAGTCGGCTACCGTGGCAATCCTACCGGAAGGGCTCATTTCATTCGAACGGTACCCCTAGTACCGTAGGCCCGGTACCTGATGTCGGGTCTGTTGATCTGTGTCTTCGT